GTTTAGAAGGGTCTTTAACTACAATTTCCATAAGATGTTATTCAGAAAGACCTTTCTTGGGAGGGTTTTTGTTATTGTTTTTTTGTGCAGAATGAATAGCCATTCTTGGATTTTCTACACTTTGTGACTGGTGATGGACTGTCTGAAAAAAGCACTACATTTCAATAATTTGGTTTTTTTTGTTGTTGTTGTTTTTTGTTTTGTTTTGTTTTTTTTTCCCCCTTCAGATTTCTTTTTCCCCTTCAGCTAAGAATGTTTATTCTTGTTCAACTTCAGGGACATGGTGAACTTCCCATTCTCCCTTTTCCTTTTATATTTCCCCAGATCACTTATTTCTTTGTTTTCTACTGTGCTTTTGGCATTTTTGGGGGGAAGGAGGGTTTGAAGAAGGGGGGACCTTTGATTTGGAGCTGGACATCCAGGGGTTTTTTGTTAGTTGGGTTATCAGAAGCTGTAAAAAATACCTTCAGCCCACAACATCACCCAGTGTCCTGATTTACCAGACCCTGCAAGTCCTGGGTGCTTTCTGCCACCAGCCCTTGCGGGCCAGCACTGCCATGTGCCCTGCAGGGAGATCCCAGTCCATCCCCAGCATCCCCAGTCATGTCTCACTGAGCTCTCTATGACAAGGGGCATCCTCTGCTGTCACCAGAGGCCTGGGATATGAGTGGCCCAGATTATACATCTCCTTTTCACTTTTTGGGTCATGTATAAAGCTTGGAGCCTAGCACAGGTATTTCTTAAACCTCTTCCTTAAATATCTCAAGCTGAAGAACGGAAAATAAATCCCATTTATAACCTGATGCTTCTATGAGTGTGTTTTTCACTGTACTTCTTCAGTGTTACTCTGAACTTTGTTTCATAAATACCTACATAAAAAACCCCACAGAAACTTCTGGGTACATGTATATTATTTCTCTATACTTTGGTTCCTTAATATGAAATAAATGGAATCAACCATTTAGGTTTACTTTCTATGCTTAAAAAAAATGAAATATGACAGCTTATGGCTTTTCTCCTCTGGATGGCAGTAACTCCTGCTTAAACATTCGTGACCCGTGACTGCAATATCCCCCAGCAAGGGATTTCCTTTTCTTTGTCAGTGTGCTATCCAAAAGAAACATTTAATTTCATTCATTCTATGTTTTTTTAAATCTAAATTTGAAAGCTAATTAAGCTTTCAAAGAAGGAATCTGTTTAATGTAAAAATCTAATTGCACAAGTCCTATGTATAAGACAAGAATCAGAAGGAAGGAATTGATCCTGGGTATTAGTATCTACTTGCATCCAATAATGTATTTCATAAAAATCACCCAATGTTGTTGAGAAAATCAAACTCCTTGACAATAAACAACGAAGCAATACAAAAGATACAGAAAGGTCCTGAGACTGCACCAGAATATCTGTCCCTTTAAAATGCTCTCATTGTAGCAGAGCACATCTGGATTTCTTGACTGTTCATTACAACACGAAATTTTAAAACAGAAAACATATCTAGTAAAGGTGATTTCCAAACACCCACTGTGCAGCCTTGTAAGTTAGTTTCAACAAGAGGTACAAGAGGGAATTAGGCCCTCCTCCCTTCACATCTGAACAAATAACCCTTTTTCAGTAACAAAGCTACATTTATGTGTGGGACTCTCATCTTCTCACTGGCCACGACCATCTCTATTGCCTTGTTTTACTGTTGGTGGAAATGATCAAGTTCAGAGCAGCAATTTCCAAAGATTAGTCCCTGTATTTATACAAGTGAATCTGCACTTTTGGGATGTCCCAAGTCCTTTGACACCTTCCTACTGATTCTGGTCAGCTGAGGTCTGTCCTTCAGACCCAAAACAACCAGCCTGGTTTCTGGGGTGCTATGAGGGCAGTGCTCCCCAGCTCCTGGCTCAGCAGCAGCAAATGGAACCCTTGTTTCTTCATATATATTATTCCGTTAGGCAGAAAGTAACTGATTTTACATATGCATTCAGTTTCTGATCTATGGGCTGAGATGGCCAATGCGGATCTGGGAGTGTTTTTTAATGAGTGGCCGGTTTTCTTCCAAGAGGTTAATGCTACCAACTCCTTTGAAAACCTTATCTGTTTTCAAATGGAGAAAAAACCCTAGCTCCTAAACATGAGAAAAGCATTTCTGCCCACATCTTTTTCAATGGAAAAAACGATTTTGGCAAATTTGGCAACTTTACATTAATTTCTCCAGAATCATGACACTGTTTACATTTTCCCTCCAAATTGCTGGTGCTCAGAAAAACCACTTACTTATACAGCTCTATTTCTACCGCTATTGTCCTGATCTTTTGTAGCACTTTTAGGTTCTGCCCATTTGTTTGTCTTTCCTGCATCTGAGTGAGTAAAGCAAAACAGTTCTGTGGTAAACAAGCCAAACCCATAAAAGGTCCTACCTGAGCATTGGAAGTCCTCTGTGGTGACAGAAACATTGGTCCAGCACTGGAAATGAAGTGCTTCGGGAAAGCATGGTGTCTCTTGAGTTTCTAAAACAGACAGGGGAGCAAACTTTGTTAGTGTCCTTCTGGAAAAAAAGTGGCATCTCCTTGCTGACATGAATCCAGAGGGAAACAGAGAGTCATTGACATACCATGTTTGGACAGCTTTGTTGTCCAGGTAATTTTCTTAAGGAGTGCAGCAGAGATGCTCAAGAAGCTTCAGAGACTGAAGATATCAGTGGGAGATAAACTGCAAATTACTGCAATCCACTGTCCTGGCCTCTTTTTTTTTTTTTTTTTTTGAATGTAAGGAAACCTGAAAAATAATAATGTGGATGCAGCTAAGAAGGTGATTTTACAGTTTGCCACGAAGCTGAGCTTTCAGCCTTTCAAAAGATGAATAAAAGTAGATACATCACATGTTACACTGGTTTTACTGCAGGTCTGTACCTTTGAGATCCCCTGATTCGCTGGAAAATTTTCTTTAAAGACTTCATTAAGTTCTGGCCCTGACACCAATTTGTCAGCAAAAGATAAAGCACCTTGAGAAGCCAAACCATAAGGTTCCTCCTTAGCACATTTGTGAAGGTCTGTTGCTGCTCGTACTGACTTCTGAGCTCAGGGGTAAAACTAAATGCAAAAAAGGGGGATACCTCTCACCTGCCAAATAAGCAAATACGTGACTGGTGGCATGTAGTTCTTTTCTGTCCTATTAAACATTGCTCTCTCCCCACTGCAGTGCCTGAGTTTGCCTCTGTTCACCATGGGAGCAGGTAAAAGGACAGACATCATAAAAAATTTTAAATGGATTAAATGGTCAGCTTGCAGATTCATTTTTACTGTGTAATTTTCTAAGTATAAGCTTTGTCCAGGATGTGGGTGGAAGGTTTCTGCCATACAACACTGACTTACCAAATAGCTCTCTCATCTGCCCTGCGAGCAATCTGAGCCGCATTGTGCACGGTCTCTTTTTGAAAAAGATATAATTCATAAACCTCTCCCTTTCCCTTAGCTCCAGAAAATGTCTGAACCAGTTTCCTAGATGGTGATATGTATACATGGCATAGTGGAAATACAGACAAAACATGTGCAGCACCGCATACGCTTCAAAAACTCCGTTCTTCATTGCCCTGATAATATTGAAATGGAGTCTGATGGAAAACAAAGATGCTTTCCTGTGTGGTGCAGGGGGCCACTGTGACAACTGAGGTCAAGAGAGGAGAGGGCATGCAAGAAACATTTCAGGCTTAGTTCCAAAATACAGAGATTTCAAGTTTATTGTGAAGACAGAAGAGCACTGTGCACTTGTATTTCTAGCTGTTGGCACTCTAACTATACCCAGCTAGTCAGAAGGATCAGTTATAGCTAGAGCTCAGTTTGAAAGGAGATTTCAAGCAGATTAAAAATTCCTGATCATTACAACCTCCTAAATTAAGTGAAACTCTCTGAAAGATTGGTTTCTTTCTGGATCCTGGAAAATTCTTTAATTATGATCACAGAATAAAGTTATTTTGGATTCTAATTTAGAAACACATGTGTGGGATTTATGCTAGCATTCCTAATGTCCAAAATTACAGAACTGCCAACTGTCAAGAAAAACACTCACTCTGGACTTATTTAAAATAAAGAAAAACAATTTAAAAATCTATTTGGAACAGCAGCCCTATCTCTCTGAGTAGAAATGTTTTGCAATCCTAAGAGCTCAAATGTAACTGTAAAATGACCTGCACTGTGTGCAAGAAATGTGAAGTTTTTCTGAAATGCCTCCTTCTATTTCCCCAAACTAATTAGCAAGTGCAGCCTTCCAGGGCCTTACAACAAGGCATAGGCTTTCTTGCTTTCTCATGCAAATGCAGTGGTAGGAGTGGACCTTACATCACAGCCCCCAAAGCGAGGGCAGGATTGCCCTTTGGTGTTGGGGTAACAGTAGGATCCTTTCTAGAACTTGCTTTCTGCTGCGTGCTGCATGAAGCTCTCTGCAATGTTATACGAATGGACAGTACAAATAAACTTCAGCATAGTTACAGCTACTTTCAGGTTTGTTTCACCTGAGCAAGGTCATGTTGGCCTGTCTTTCTGTGTAGCATCAACTGCTGATTCGACCTGCAGGAAACCAAAGGGAAAAAAGTTTTTCTGCGTGGGATATACACTTGTTTTCAAAAGAGCTGTTGTATAAAAACCCCCTATGCTTTCTGGGTTGCTGGAGTTGCCTGAGGCAGATCTGTCATTGTTGATAATACATTAAGCACAATACATCAGCATGCCAGAGAAAAAGATTTCCCAGGATCGGCTATGCCCTTTGTAGAGCAGTAAGCAAGAATGACTAAGGTATAAAAGGGCATGCTGTGGTGAAGCTTTTATGTGAGTGAGGACTGCAAGGGCAGAGAAGACACATAAAACTAATGCCTTCTGCAAGCCATGAAGAAATTAGCAGGAAGTATAGATGGGAAATCAAAGGCATCAAAGGCAAGTATAGAGAACAGTCACACATCCAAAAAATCACCTGGACAACACAGCTGTCTGAGTGACCCAGAAGTAAGAATCTTTTTTTCATGTGATAGCCCAGCTGGCTGAAGAGATGAGGTTAGTTTGGCATCCATGGGCTCCCTCCTGCTGGCAATCAGAAGAGTTTATTGCAGAATAATCTGAGCAGTATCTTGAATCTTGAAACCCAGTTACGCCCAATTAAACCACAGCGGTTCAATGTTCAGGGACTATAAGTGAAAAAAAAAAGGGCAGAGTCAATTTGCAGGAAGCACATGTCCTGTGACAGATGACCAAGTTATCTTTAAACTGATGTATGAACTGGCTTCTTTGCAAATCAGCAGAATGCAATACCTCGCTCTGCCTCTGCAGGTGTACTCTGCGTACCTACACTTTCTACCTGATCTGATTTCCTCTGCTCTGTCCCCTGTTGCACTCTGTGGACCTTCTTAAGTTTGCAAAGAATCTTCAAATTTACAAAATTGTCTCTGATATAATCAATACTGTAGTGGTACTTTTTGATGAAACTGTTTGTAAGCCCAAATATGCCACAGTTCTCGCTTGTTACAGCCAGCTTTTCACTACTGAGATGAATGTATTTGATAAAAACAAACAAACAAACAAACCTCCAAGAAAACGAAAATCAGGCCTTTTCATACTGTTCTTTGCTTCGAGGGACACAGAAGAACTGGAAAAGCATTAAGATGATAATGGACTTTTGCATTGCCTATAATTATTCTGTTAGCAGCAAACTGGTGGTTCAGTAAATCAAAGATATGAGGACACAAACCTTTGCATGGGCAAATATGCCCAGATTCTTAGAATTTATAAAGTTTGCACTAGCAGTTACTACAATCTATTCAACTAGTCCATTTTGGAAGGCTGACCAGAATGCCTTTATATAACTTTTTGCAGGCAGGAAAGCTTCACTTATTTGGGCGTAATCAGCACATCACCTCCTCCTTTTCACATCTTTTACATCTCTACAAATTGACTTATACCAAAATCATTCTAGTCAACTTTTCAAAGCATGTGATTGCTTAGATCTTCAATACAGCTATATCCCCTCAATGATTTCTCCACCTCAGTGGGGTGTACATGACAGGGTGTTTTGAAGTGCACCCTGACAGCCAAGTTTTCGTAAAACAATTTTAAAGGGGAAAAATTGCTAAAGTGTATAGTTCTTGGCTAAGGGAAGTGCCACCCCTTTGCTTCACTAACCACTCAATTTAAGGGTGTAGGGGCTGCTAGGGCAACCAGTGCCATCCATAAAATCCTGCCTGAAAGCATCTGTAAAATGCTAATCTGCATTTTACAAAGCAGCTGCAAAAAGGACCAGATCAGCAAGCCATTAGTGTATCTAGCACATAATTTTCTTAGATTTCTCTACAGGATTAAAAGTTTTCTTCTGGTCATCTTTCCTGGCAGTATAGAGAAAAGAATGTCATTTTTGTTAAAGAATGTCTTTTGTTAAAGAAATACTCCCTTCTGATTGATGGAAGGAGTTTGCTTATGGAATTGAAGCAAAGGACATGGTTTGCTTAGTAATAACATACATGGAAGTTTTTAGAAAAAATAAAGGATCGCCTTTGGCTTCGTATTCTTAAATAGCATCAATCAAAAGTATCTGTTGGCTAAATGAAATAATAATAATAGTCATAATAATACTAATAATACTCATCATTGTCCTCGTCCTCCTACCCTACTGAAGGCTTGGAAAAGAGACAATTGCGGTTTCACATTATGCCAAAGACTTCTCCCCACTTCAGTTCTGATGACCTGTTTTCCTCTGTTTCTGCCCTCAACATTTGAATGACTGGTTCACTGCAGGTAGCCCCTGAAAGGCCTTCAAAGGAGCGCACGGCTGTGCACGGAGAATGCAGCTCAAAGCACTCTGACTTGCTCACGTCACCAGGACAGATATAGAGGGAGAACACTCTCTCTGACATGGCATTTCCTTTGCTGCATCCTTTGTCACTGTGTGATGGGCAGGAATAGCAGAAGCTGACAGTGTGATGATTTCAAGCTTTAAAACTTAGCTCTGCGAGGCAGCTTCCAACAGGTGACTGAAATGAGGAAAAAATGGGGCTTTTTTCATATTGATAAAACCAGCTGAATTGTGAGCATTCCTGAAAGTGTGCAAGGCTCTGATAAGAGCTTTATCAAGCATGTACTACATCAACTGGCTGCTACACCAGCCCTCTAATCAGCTGGTTTTCCTAGCAACAGTACCCATTCAATAAGCTCACATCTATCGAGGAAGCACTTCACTGTCAGTGGAGATGCTGTTACAGTAATTCGTGCTTGAGACCAGGTGTAAAGAAGGACAACCAGACCCCAGGTTTAAATATGCACAGATGCTGGGAGAACTGTGGATCTTTTAAAAATCCTGTTCAGTTCAAACTTCAGTTCTGCCCATCTGAGAGTGCCTCCATCTTCAGGAGAAAGAAATGTATTTAATAAGTTCATGGGGGAGTCAACAGAAATATCTCTTAACAATTAAACACCAACTTGTGAGAAATGTAATTTTCAGATGTGTTTTTAATACAACATATAATTAAGTTTTAACAAGGTTTATTCAGCTCTATAAGGACTTTGCAGAAAAGCTTTAGTGGGAACGTAAAAGACAGAACTCTTGATCTAGAAAAGAGGAAAAGGCCCATGAATATAGTTTCTTTTGTTACAATGAGATTGAGTTTGCAATTTCTTGGATTAAGCTGGGACAGACTTTGATAGTCTGTCTCTCAAAGATCCAAGAATACTGAGAGACTTCAAGCATTCAGATTTTCATCACTGGCAATATTAAAATCCTGGCTAAGACTATTCTTTGGCTTGTAGTCATATGATTAAGGACTAATTCCACTTAGGAAATGCAATATCTTGATTTAAAGGGAATTAATTCTGACCATCAAAAGTGATAGGAGAATAAGTCTCACACTGAAAATAAAAGCCAGCCTGCCCATGAAATAGTAACATACACTGCTATCCATATATGTGCACCTCCTCTGAAAGAAATCTGATGGTTTTTCCTGAAGCTATTCTGGGATAATTGTATCTTTGTCCATTATAAATTCACATAGATTTTTATAAGCAAAGCAAGGGTCCAAATGGCACTATTAGAAATAATCCTTTAAGAGATTTTCAAAGATATGTCATGCTTAACTTCAACTAAACACTCTACAGAAATTTTATTTTTCCTCATAACCAACAATAGATCCCTGTAAGTGTAAAGTAAGTCATACACAATCAAATATGCTGGCATAAAAGTAGTCATGCTCTCACTCATATAAAAAGTAAATAAATCATGCCAATAAAGACATGCCAGCATGTAAGAATAAACTTTTTGTTTTAAAGCACATATAACCAAAGAACATTTTAGAAGCTTTTAAATTCATTAAGACTCAGGTCTTGCCTGTTTGGAAGGCTTTCTCAGTGACTGGATCATCAGAAGACTACATGAGGTGAATTCTGCATTTTCATGCATAGAGGCTACAAAATATTGAAAAAGCTCAGTTTACTTGAAACTGGGTCCTATTCTTATTAAGTTGTCGTAGAAAGAGAATAGAAATAAATTTGTCCTGGTCTGTTGTTTCCTTGTAACACTGTAGATAGCATGAGGGAAGACTTGTTTTTCCACCTTCATCCTGTGCTTTTTTTTATCATCTTGGGCTCACTCCGGAAGGGTAGAGGACTTTCAGAAGTCTCCTGGAATGCTGTACCATGACTTACCATGGACTTGGAGAACGTAGTGGCTAATGTGTTTTTGCTTACCTGCCAAAAATTAGTATTTTTTTCACCTAAAGAGTATTAAAACATTTCATTGAACTAGAAAGCTGTCAGATGAAATGTATATGAGAGCTGTTACGGGGGAAGTGTCACAGAAATTATCATATAGGAATATATCAGGAGCCCATCTAAAGCAATATTATCTTTCCCAATGCAGTCAGCCACAAACATTTTGAAAAGGTAACAGGCAGTAATCAGGATATGGCCCAAAAATGAGCAAAAATTTTGGATCCATGCACTGAGATACAAGACAGTAGGATGCTCCTGCACCTTAAATTCAACTGAACAAAATGCAAGTTTAAGCTGTCTCTCTTACAGTTAAACTCTGTTATCTGATCCATTCTGCAAAGGCACCGGACATACCAAGTCTAAATGCACAGTATCGGGATCTAACTGGATTGTGCCTGCCAGGAATGGACTTATACTTCCCATGTAATAAAAACTACTTGTATCAAAGTATCAGAAAAAGTTTGTACATCATGTAATGCCAAAATGGATTTGCCAAATCATCTGAAGGAGGATTAATAGTAGAAAAAGGTGAATGTATTGCCTTTGGTACAGAGTTCATTATCTTACAAGCTAAGCAACAGTTGTTTCAGAAAATCAAACAAACCCCATGGCTGATTCCTCTAATTTTTTGCCATCTGCATCACTTTGGAATATTCACATAAAAATGACATATTTGAAAAATTGTGCTTTTTTTTTTTAACAGAAACATTTAATTCTCATTCACTGTGTGCTGTGAACGAAAACTTCAACACTTCTGAGAAATTAAAAAAGAAAGTGGTGAGCACATAAGGTTCTTGCTACATCTGTTAGGGAGCAGAAAAAAATCACAGAACCCCAGAAATGTGGGGAAAGGGATAAGAAAATTGGAGGAAAGGGCTATATCCCAGGGAAAGGTACATGACTATGAGTCACAAGGACTTACTCCCAAAAAAGCTCAGAGTGCCTTATAATGACATAATAAGTAAAGCATGGGCTATACCTTCCTAGTAAAAAATTTCAAAAAACTCCACCGAATTTTTTTCCTCCTGAAATAACTTTTTTCAGGTTCCCTAGGCAAAGAGAATGATCTAACATATTTCACTACCTCTGAGAGTATAACACACTGTGTAGCCTGCAGTGCATTAAGAGTATCCTGGTATCCAACCGATAAGAAGTAACTCATATTTCTCAGAGGACAGAACCCCATGGCTCAGTTGTGAGATTCCAGATTAAAAGATTTGCAGAACATATAATCAGTATAATACTCTCTTACCTAGATTCTAGGGCTTCCTCCACGCCTTCAATGATAGTATTTCTGTCTCTGCCAAACAGTGCAACAAGAAATTTTCACAGCTCCAACCAGCAAAAAAACATGCTATCAATTAATACCAAAGACAGATCTTAGATATTTTAGAAAACAGTAATATATGGTCGCTTCATAAGGGATATGTTGATT